GAAGTTCTAATCACCCAATGTCAGCAAAGCAGCTTTGAACAAGACATTAAAAATCTCAAACAAGGGCGCACGACGGAGAATCGAAGCCAATTGAAAAGGCTAGACATCACTATGAAAGACAATCTCATAAGACTTCAAGGTAGAGCAAGAACCGTAGCGGGCGTGGACAACGACTATTTAACGCCCATAGTACTGGATGGCAGGAGCGCCATTGGGAGATTGATGATTGAACATTATCACGAGAAATACAACCATGGTAATCAAGCCACAGTAATGAACGAAATACGGCAAAAATACTGGATGTTAGGCCTGAGATCAGTGCTGCGTAGTATACAACAAAACTGCCAGTACTGCAAGCTGAAGAAGGGTAAACCAGCGGAGCATCCGGCGGGGAACTTACCTCAAGAAAGGCTGAGACATGGTGAGCCCCCTTTCACGTGCACAGGTGTGGACTACTTCGGTCCAATGCTCGTGGCGATCGGCAGACGAAGAGAGAAGAGATGGGGAGCCTTGTTTACCTGCCTGACCACAAGGGCAGTACATATCGAGATAGTGCCCAGCCTTACGACGGACTCTACCGTAATGGCGTTAAGGAGATTCGCTGCTCGAAGAGGAATGCCAAAGATAATTTATTCCGATAATGGAACAAACTTTGTCAAGGCCAGCAAAGAACTCCAAACCGCCATTGAAGAGCTTAAAAGAGAGGAAATCGTCACTGAAGCAGAGAAGGTTGGCACACAGTGGAAATTTATTCCTCCCGGCGCACCAAATATGGGAGGAGCTTGGGAACGATTGGTGCGCTCCATTAAGGTTGCACTGGACGCTACATTAAAGGAGCGCGTTCCACGAGAGGAAGTTCTGCATACGTTGCTGTTGGAAGCAGAACATATGGTTGACTCCAGACCAATAACGAACCTAGCTGACAATTCGGAAGAGGAGGCGCTTACCCCAAATCACTTTCTCATTGGGCGATCCAGTGGAGCTGCACGCGTTGGGCATTTTCCTGATGCAAAGCTGGTGGGCAGAGAAGATTGTAGGACCGTCCAACGACTCTCTGATCACTTTTTGAGGAGATGGCTACGGGAGTACTTGCCCACGCTACTGCCCAGGAAAACGACAGGACGACGGGAAGGCGAGCAGCTACAGCCAGGCGACGTGGTTCTTATCGTAGATCGCACGCTACCACGATGCACTTGGCCGAGGGGAATCATCGAAACCACGTACCCCGGGCCCGACGGAAGAACCAGGATCGTGGACGTCGCAACCAAAGGTGGAGTGTTACGAAGACCATCATCGAGGATCGTCATCTTGGTGCCTGCGAAGTCGCCGTGCAGGAATGACGGTGCTACGCACGAGGGGGAGAATGTTGGCGACTCATAAATATAAATATAATATAAATAGTATTAAGTATGAGCTATAGGTTAAATATTATGAATATTGTTGGCAGCTAGTTAGTAGTAATTAAGTATGAGCTATAAGTAAAATAAGAATATTGTTGGTAGCTCATAAGTAGAAATTAAGTATAAATAAGTTAGATAAAAATATGTAAATAATTTAAGGGAAAAATATAGTTAAATAAATTAATAAAATGCTTCGCCGAATAAAAGGGTCGCGTAGCTCTCGTCGCGGTATACGCGCGCAGATGTCTGTAAGCGCAGCTCTCGTCGCGGTATACTGTCGGAGTACTTAAGCTCGGCGAGATTTACGCAAAATCCTCTTTTTCCTCCGCAACGAACTGGGACCCAAGAATAATCGGCGAAGCAAGAAACAAGAACAAGGCGCAGTTTCATTTCAAGACAACATCCTACAATTACGCACTAGCAGGGGTGCGTGGGTCGAGGCGGTGCCAGCGATACGTCGAACCGTCTTGACAAAACGTACGTAGTCAAACCCCACCGGTATTCAAAGCCGCGCCGAGGTTACTTTGGTTACTGCACGGGTGTTCTCAAACGAACATCTAAACGTCTAATCCCGTGCAGGCCCGAGTCTCTGAGGCGACGTCGGGATTGGCTACAATAGTAGTACGTACGAAGTCAAACCCTACCGGTATTCAAAGCCGCGCCGAGGTTACTTTGGTTACTGCACGGGAGTTCTCAAACGAACAACTAAACGTCTAATCCCGTGCAGGCCCGAGTCTCTGAGGCGACGTCGGGATTGGCTAGAACAGTAGTACGTACGAAGTCAAACCCCACCGGTATTCAAAGCCGCACCGAGGTACTTTGGTTACTGCACGGGTGTTCTCAAACGAACATCTAAACGTATAATCCTGTGCAGGCCTGAGTCTCTGAGGTGTCGTGGGGGTTGGCATCAACATTAACTATACTTTATTTTAATTTCCATATATTGTATGGTTTTAAAGGTAACCAACAAGAATTTAAATTAAAAATTATATTAAAATGTTTACTCCCGAAATAAACAAACATAAAACTGATTAGCAAAACAAGCTAAACATAAACGTAATGATTAAGAAACTAATAACTATTATGTCCAAATCAAAGTCCAAAGTCAAAAATAATTAATTCATATTATATTATATATTTTATATAAGATAACACAAAGTACACTTATGAACGTAAAAAAAGAAATACACACCAAATTCTTCTAATTTTACATTTACTGCCAGTTCTCAAATCAAGGGCGTAGAACGGAAGAGAAGAACTGGCAATAAAGCACTCTTTTTTTATAGACTACTTTAAGACTTTTTTTATATACTATACAGTAGTAAAACTTTTGTCAGTTCACTTCACGTACAGAAAAGGCTCCGTTAACTGTGTTATTCGATGTATTACGTTAGTCAACGAATTACGTATACTAACGTAATCCATCAAATAAACTGCCACAACGATTATAATAAAAAATATTATAAATCGTTCTTGCAAAGAAAGTAGTACATTCAGATTGAATTATTATAAAAAAAAACGCAGAATCAGCCATCTAAAATAGGCATGCAAATTTAATATTACCCATGGTCTCGTAATACCCATTATAAAACCTAATCCAAATCCATAATATAATGCTTTGGATTATTTATTAACCATAAAATCCTTGCAATTAAACAGAATATATCATTAAACTAACATTAAATTACAGAAAATCGATTAAGGAAATTTCGCCCTAAATTCTCAAAGCTCAATCATTAAGAGTCGTAATACTTATTCAAATCAAGGATTCCCTTTTGATCCAACCCTTTAGGTATCGGGTTACAAAATATTGTCCCCTTCTAAATATTGGGGAACCCTCTATTGAGATCCCTAAATTATTCTGGGTCTATATTGACCGGTAGAATACATAATTTAATGTTAACCAATCTAAGTTGACACTCGTGAACTGCAGCTTTGGAAGCCGGTATTAATTAGAAGTAATTCCTATAAAAATTTGTACGAAGGTTCAGATTGATCGGCCGAAATACATTGGGTATTTGTGGCTACGGGAATGCACTCATTTTGAAACTGAAAGATTCGGTATGTAATACAATACATGTTTGACATACGGGAGTCAGACTTAGTGCTAAGTCTCATTTCTGAATCTCACCTTATGTCTTCTATTCTAGAACATCACTCACACTTACGCCCAAACCCAATAATTAATCCACAATCTCAGATTGTTTTTAATCTGAGATTGTGGATGAATTATCAGACCGTGACAGTCGATCGATCTCCTATCTGCATCCCAATAACCAAACCCTACGAAGACAATCCATTTTTCGCGACGGATGAAATGCTCTTTGTCGTTCTATTTTACCGAGTTCTCACTCATATTTGATAATCAATGTAAAGTAAATAAAACCGTACAATTAACATTAAAATATACATTTATATGTTTAGAATATAACGAACAGATTTTTTTATTAATTAAAAAACTGGTGTAAGTTAAAATCTGTTAAAATAATTAACTGTTGAAATCGAGCTTTCGTCAACTATCATTTTCATACAAAGGTCTATCCACAGACACCGGTACGACCTCCCATGGATAGCTTTTATCTATTGCAATCCATCGATTGGTTATTGGCACAGAAGTTACAACATTTGGATTAAGATTACTATCTTAGATGGGGGATTATGGATTGTTGTTATACTCAAGAGCTGTCAAACCTATTTGAAATTTGATAATGCTCAAATAGGCATTGACTCAACTGTTGAAATATGGTATAGTAATAGTTACGTCATCTAAATCCATGTTAAAATCTTAAAATTGCGAGACATGAATTTAAAATATCGAAATCGGTATTGAATGCTGCGTAGGATCTGTAGTATCTACAGACTAGGAATAGACGAAAGTTCAAGACTAAATGGTCGGTGATTGACAACTAATGTGGGTTGTTGACGGACAGAGCTTTCACGTTACTTACTTTTAGAATGGTTAAACAAAGCTTTGAACTCTGAAGTATGAAGCGAAGAAACTGGTACATCTGTCACGCATAAAAACACCTTTTGTTGTGACGAAATGTAAATCTTTCTAAAATTATTTAGAAAGAATTATAGCTTCTAACTTACTTACTAAATATAAAGATCTTTTTACGTCATTAAACAAATCTTTACAAATAATTAGTGGACCCCGTGTTATAGTGGGTGGCCAGGTAAGCGGTTATTAAAATAAGACTACATTGCAATTATTCACACACATATATATTCAGCCATGACAGGCGGTCCGAGACATACTGTACAGGAAACGGAAACACATAGACAACATTAAATCACAGATACGTAACATCTCCCTTATTAAGAAAAGAAAACATGGCATGAAGTGGAACATAGTACGTACGTAAGTATACATTTTTTTTTTTTTTTTTTTACATTGACAAAATTCTTACATACTATTAGACTAAAATAATGGTACGGAACATTGACTTGACTGACATTTTCAATTTTGATAGTTCCCACATTGACGTCTACTAAATTGACATAACTGTGTTTTGACAGCTACACAAAACAAAATTAGGTTAAAGACATTAACAATACATTTACAAACTAAGTACAAATTATGAACTTAATCTAGACTAATTACCAAAATCTTCGGGGCTTTATGATAGCTCTGCCGAATGAAGAATAACTTGTGTGGTGAGTACGTGTATTTGGTGTATGTGATGTGTTTGTTTTTGTTTTAGATTCTTGGACAGGATTATTTCTACAAGGGGATTGATAATTCGATGGAGGTGACGGCGATACATTGGAAGGGGACGTTGTCTGATCTTGTGGGACTGACGGAGATGGAAGTGAACTACTACTAGGAGAGGACTCAGAGGGTGAAAGTTTTGGTTGTAGGATGTGTTGGCGATTACGACGAAAAGTACCTTCCGGGGAGACAATAGTATATGATCTAGGCTGTGGACCTATGTCAGAAACAGTACCAGGTGTCCAAATACTGTCTGGCTGTTTCTTGAAGTATATTTTATCACCAATGTTTAGGGAAGACAACGGTTTAGTATGTTTATTATAATAAATTTGTGATTTATTCTTTTTTATTTGAGTTTTATTTATTAGAGACCTATAGTTAGGTATTTTAGGTTTTAGAGTCTGTTCTAAGACTGGAAGTTTAGTTCTGAGTGACCTGGACATTAGTAATTGGGCAGGTGAATACATGCTTTCTTTAGGTGTATTCCTATACTGTAATAATGCTAAATGAGGGTCTGTATTATCAGTAAGACATTTCTTTAATATATTCTTAACCGTGCCTATGGTTCTTTCTACAAGACCATTAGACTGTGGAAGATAGGGACTTGATGTAATATGTTGAATTTGCCAATCTAAAGCAAAATTATGAAACTCTTTTGAGTTAAATGGGGGACCATTGTCTGAAATTAGAATGTTGGGTATTCCATGTCTGGAAAAAATAGACTTTAAGTGACTAATGACAATTTTACTAGTGGAACCACCAACTAGCTTAACAAGCTCGACATATTGGGAAAAATAATCAACGACTATGACATACTTGTGTAAATTCAGATCAAATAGATCAACTCCAACTTTATTCCAAGGGATTGGTTTTACTTCATGAGGCAGTAGTGGCTCTTTGGAATTGCTGCGTCTGTTAGTGAGACAGCTATGACAATTATTTACATATTTTTCTATATCAGAGTACATATTAGGCCAGTATACTAGATTTCTTGCCAATCTTTGGCAACTATGAATGCCCTGGTGACCTTCATGGATCTGTTTCAATATGTCATTCCTCATGGCTACTGGTATAATGACACTGTTGTTTTTGAAGACAATACCATTAATAATGTGTATATCAGTTTTTAAAGGAAAATAAGACCTAAGGATGTCTGGAAGTAATTTTTTATGTTCAGGCCAACCTTCTATGCAACATTTACTTAAGAGTGATAATTCCTTGTCTTGGGAAGTTTGTTCTTGAATAGATTTAAGTTTATTTGGACTAATTGACAGTGATCTAATGACTAAATTGACATGTAAATCTAGGTCAGAATCAAGATCATGTAATGACTGTTCTGGTAAAGCTGCTCTGGACAGAGTATCAGCTACATAAAGATATTTACCTGGTTTGTAAGTTACATTGAGGTCATATGGTTGTAATCTCAGCATTATTCTTTGAAGACGGGGTGGAATGTTGTAAATTGGTTTTTTATAGAGCGATACTATTGGTTTGTGGTCTGTTTCAACTAAAGTGTGGCGACCATAGATATATTGGTGAAACTTTGTACAACCAAATAGGATTGCTAATAGCTCTTTCTCAATCTGAGAGTATGACTGTTGACATGAGCTTAATGAAGCTGAAGCATATGCAATGGGGTGTTTATCATGGCAAATCACTGCACCCATGGCATCTTTAGACAAATCAACTGACAGTGTAATAGGTTTATTTTGATCATAATATGTTAAGACAGGGGCTTTAGTTATAGACTCTTTTAAGACATTAAATTCTATGTTATGTCTCTCTTGCCAAGACCATTCATTTTCTTTAGACAAAAGCATTCTTAAATTAGAAGTTTTTTCTGACAGATTCTCTATGTATGAGCCTAAGTATGTAACCATACCTAAAAATCTTTGTAATTCTGTGACATTTGTAGGGGGTGGCATACTGCAAATGGCTTTAACTTTGTTTTCATCAACTTTCACACCATCTTTAGAAAAGATGTGTCCTAAGTACTTGACTTCACTTTTAAATATATTAGACTTTTCTTTATTAAATTTTATTCCTAACTCCCTAGCTCTATCTAAGACTTGTTTTAACCTAAAATCATGTTCTTCTTTTGTTTGACCATAAATTAGGAAATCGTCCATCATAATTTGGACTCCTGAAATGTCACTGAATCTATTTGTCATGATGGAATGAAACAGTTCTGGGGCTGCATTTATTCCGAAGGGTAGTCTTAGGAATCTATATCTACCTTGAGGTGTGATGAATGTACATAGCTTTGAAGAAGCTTAATCTAATTTAAGCATATAAAAACCTTTGTTTGCATCTAATGTTGTGAAATATTGTGTACCAGAGAGGCTGGATTTAATTTCATCAATAGTTGGAAATTGATAATGAGGACGCATAATGGCTTTATTAAGTTTTCTTGGATCAATGCACAGGCGTAGTTTACCATTCTTTTTTGAGGCAATTACAATTGAGCTAACCCATTCAGTAGGTTCCTCGACTTTGGTTATAATTTGATCTTTTTCTAACATGGCTAATTCTTCTTTTAATTGTTCTAAGAGACTGAATGGAATTCTACGGCAGGCATCTATAGATGGTACAGCATCAGGCTTCATTGACAAATGACATTCGTAATCTTTAAGACAACCTATTCCTGAGAAGAGATCTTTATATTCAACAAGCTGTGATACATTGACAGACTCATGAAATTGGACATTATGGACTCTTTTGACTAATTTTAAATTCTCACAACTGTTGCGACCAATAATATTTCTACAAGGTATATCTATAATGTGGAAATTGACATTGTATACTCTGTTGTTATGTGTGACAGACAGAATGCATTGACCTACTGTAGGTAATACTTCACCGCTAAAGGTTGAAAGTTTGTGATTACTTTTCTTTAAACTACTCAATGATAAATTAAGTTTTTTGTAAGAGTTAAATGATAAAATGTTAGTGTCAGCACCTGTGTCAAGTAAAAAGTCTACATTCTTACTATTTATGGACAAAGTTATATGATAAGGGTTTCTTTGGCTGACAGAAATCTCATTAGTGAAAAGACTATTTATAAAATAAGGATCATTGGGATTACCCATACTGTTTTCTTCTATGAATCTCACATGTCTGCTGCGGCAACACTTGGCAAAGTGGTTCGGCTTGTGGCAGTTGTTACAGATGACTCCCATGGCTGGACATTTTGTACGGTGAACTTGACCACATCTGGAGCAGTTCTTGGATGACTGTTTAGACTGATGTTCTTGACTGGACGATGAAGCATCGTGACGACTAAGACTTTCTTGACGGCTATGACTTCTTTGACGATTATGACTTCTTTGACGATTATGACTTCTTTGACTGTGACTCTCTTGACCACGTTTTGTTAGACGACTGTGACGTGATTGACGACTGACGACACTTACTTCATGGCTTGATAAGGCTTTAGCCTCTAACCTTGTATTTCTTAGCGTTTTAGCGAGACTGACGGCTGCATCAAACGAAGATGGTTTCTCGATCAGGATACGTTCTCTGATGTATGAGCAAGATGAATTTAAGTTCCATGAGAATATGTCCTTTACTATATCGTCCGCAAGACCTTCGAAATTGCATTGGATGCTTAGATTCTTGAGATCAGTGGCATATGTCTCAATTTCTTCATCTGGACCTTGTTTTCTATTGAACAGCTTATGCCTTTCGACAGATATATTCACACGCGGCGTAAAATAGTCTTCAAATTTGGCGAGTAGGTAGATCCTTGTAGGTGATCTTATCTATTTCAGTATTAAACGAGTAAAATATTTGGAGAGCGTCTGAGCCAATAGTTTGTAACAAAATGGCTACCTTTCTTTTGTCTGATTCTTTTTCCAAATCGTTGGCAATCATATAAATACCAAGACTAGTTTTAAAGTTTCTCCAAGCCAAAGGCATATTCGAGGCGTTAATATCAATACTGAAATTACTCGGCGGCAGAGGACAACTTGTACTTTTATCCGACATTTTTAGGCTGAACCACGCGGCGACGTTTTACGTGAAAATTTTTGTAGCGTTTATCTCTGTCGGCTTCTGTGTTCTTTTCTGGTTCACTACTTAAACTTCTGACACCATGTTATAGTGGGTGGCCAGGTAAGCGGTTATTAAAATAAGACTACATTGCAATTATTCACACACATATATATTCAGCCATGACAGGCGGTCCGAGACATACTGTACAGGAAACGGAAACACATAGACAACATTAAATCACAGATACGTAACACCCCGCAGACGTTGTCCTGCATGATATTTAAAGCGATTAGGATATTAAGCAAAGTATGAAAGTACCGACTGCAGTGCCATCTGCCGGGCTGATTTGTGAATCTAAACCATTCCCAGATCCCCTTGAACACACACAAAAAATTTCATCAAAATCGGTCCAGTCGTTTGAGAGAAGTTCAGTGACATACACACTCACAGAAGAATTATATCTTTACAAATAATTAAGTACTTAATAGTCAAATGGAATGGTAACAATAACAGTATTTTAATCCAACTATCTAAATCTAACAAAGAAATTAATAAACTAACTAAAATTAGTTGAGGAACACTTAGTATAACTTATCTTTATAAATAAAAATGAATAGCAAATCTCGAAGACGTCTGGACCAATTCGAGTATTTTTTTTATTCGAGTATTCCTTGAACTCTGAGGGAGGTTTTTGAAGAGAGAAATATTGGAAAAATTGCACGGAAAACCCTATGCATAGTACAATGTTCTATAAAAATCATATTAAGGCGAAACGAAATTGGCGAGTGCAGCTAGTACACTAATAAAAACTTATGATACACTATTAATTCCACTGAGGAACTCTGATGTCAGAGCTCTCCTTGCCACTACACTTGAAGCTGTATACTCAAACTCAAAATATCTTTATTCATATAGGTAAACAAGTACACTTATGAATGTCAAAAAAAAGTTAAATTAATTGTAAATTTACATTAACTACCAGTTCGCAAGTCAAGGGCGTAGAGCGGGCAAGAAGAACTGGCAAGAAACTTTCCGCCACTCTTTTTAATCGCTAAGTTTTGAGTCATACAAATTGTTTGAACTGGAGGAAATCAATCCCAAGGATTATGATCATTTAAGTATTCGTCTAGTAAAGCTTTATTGATTAATTTACGTTTAACGAGGGCTTTGAACTTATTTATGTTTAGAAAATTTATTTTAAGAATTTATTTATAGAATAATAGCGCCCCGCCCCGGCTTCGCACGGATGCAATGCTGATACTAAATTCAAAGTTCTATAGAGTACTAGTGGACCCCACAGACGTTGTCCTGCATGATATTTAAAGCGATTAGGATATTAAGCAAAGTATGAAAGTACCGACTGCAGTGCCATCTGCCGGGCTGACTTGTGAATCTAAACCATTCCCAGATCCCCTTGAACACACACAAAAAATTTCATCAAAATCGGTCCAGTCGTTTAGGAGGAGTTCAGTCACATACACACGCACACAAGAAATATATATATTAAGATGTATTTGTTTAAAAAAAAAAAACATTTCGAACAACATATAAGAGGTTTTTGTTATGAATGTCTGGCAGATATCATTTTTACACGTGACATCAAACTCAGCACGCTATCTTATATAAATGCTTCATTGGTTTAGTGAAACGTGCTGCGATAATGTACGGTAATTGAGTTGTGCTTACATCGCCTCGTTGTCAATAGAGACTGATTGAGCAGACTAACAATATTATAGTCACGAAGGGGTTAAATTCATTGACATATATCTTGTATAGTTTATTTATTTAGAAAATCCTGACAGCTTATTTGATAGTTTACGTAATACAAAATGGTTTTTATTTATTTATTTACACTTCGTTGCAAATAAAAGAAACACAATACATAAAAATTATAAGGTATGTAACGGGCGGCCTTATCGCTAATAAGCGATCTTTTCGAGGCAACCCTAGTTTAAGAGAAAAACTAAAAAAAAACATGATGCGTGCGAGAAGTGCAGAACCAAATGTTATATAAAAAAATATATATATATATAGAACCTTAATCTAAAGTAATACAAAAAAAAAAAATTATAACAGACTAAAAACTTAAAAGCTAATCTTACAAATTCATGAACAGCTAATAGTGATGTAAAAGGAAACAAGAATTATACAAGTCACGATTGATGAGGATAGGATAAGGTTAAGAAATCTATATATATATATATACGTAGTCGGTCCCAAAGTTCTGTCATAAATGGAAATAATGATAAAAACAAAAGTACTGATCAGTTTGTAATGAGTGATATATCAATTCTTAGTACATTAATTAAGGAATAAAAAAAGCATAAAAATATTCGAAATAACCTCCCTCATTTTTAATACAGGCCCTTAAGCGTCGCGGCCAGTCGTCTATCGCAGCACGCACCATATTCGTGTCGATTTCAGTCACTGGTTTTTTTAAAGATGACTTCAGATTCTCCAAATTTTCATGAGGTTTATCACACCTCATGAAAATTTCTTCCTTCCTCTCTAAGCCCTGTCATAATTTCTGGTCCAAAGGATTAAGGTCCGGACTGGAGGAAGGCCAATCCTCATGTCTAATTAAGACGATGTTTTGACGCTCAAACCAGGCTTTAGTGGTCTTGGCTTTGTATGCAGACGCAGAGTCCTGCTGGAACACGAAGTGATGTCCCGCAAATAGGGTGCTGGACATGTCTTTGACAAGGCGATACAAAACCGTCTCTTGGTACACTGTAGCACTGGTTTTGACCCCCTTTTCGAAAAAAATTAACCTCAGTTAGCCCGTAATAGGACACTCCCAACCAAACCATTACTGATGATGGATGATGTCCATGTTGCACCCTTGGAACTTTATTTTCAGCTTCTTCAGAACTCCTAGCGTACACTGTATAATTCTGTTTATTGTACTTCTCTTCAATATCGAAAAATTTTTCGTCCGTAAAGAGGATATCACGGTGTCGGTTTTTCGCGTACCGCTTAAACAACACCCGCGATCTCTTAAGCCTTATTGCTTTTAGACGAGCATTAAGTAAGTGCCCACTCTTTTTTTGTATGCTCGTAGACCAAGATCTTCATTTAAAACCTTTTTTACTGTTTTCCTACTGACACCCATCTGCAAATCCATCAACTTCTGTTTTCGGACAGGATTTCTTACTATCCGCGCCTTGATAGCTTTGATTACTGCTGGTGTTCTTGCGGAGCGTGGCCAGCCAGTTCTTTTCTTGTCCTCAACACTGGAGACTTCAAGGTACCTATCAATAGTACCGTACACAAACCTAAGCGTTATATTCAAATTTTTGAGCAACTTGAAAATGGTACTCGGCGAGTGTCCACAGCGGTGCAACGCAATAACAACTATTCGGTTTACTTTCAATGTCCACTCCATCGTGAAAAATTACGGAAAGTTATTGTTTTTTGTTTTAAAACAATAATCAAACATTCCAAAATAGAATGCAATAATTTTTTTATAAAATCCTGCTCGAAATGTAGAAATAATGTGCTAGTGACAGAACTTTGGGACCAACTACGTATATATAATGAAAATGGTATTCGTTTGAGGCTCCTTCACGCCTAAACCACTGATCGTATCGACATGAAACTACCACCATTCGATGCGAAATTTTTCCTAGATGGTTTATGGCTATTTATTTATTAAATTCCAACGTTCCTTCATTTTTTTTTATTGCTGTTTTACTTTTATGAAAATTTATCCATACGGACTTCACCGCGGAAACATTCGGGGAGGCTTCCTAGAACCTCTAAACGTCAACATCTGTTAAAAACTCGATTTTCGAAATATTTCAATTTTCTTAGCGGGAAGTTAAAAAGAAGAATAATAAAAATATGAAAAAAAATAAAATAATGAAACATAAAATTTATTTTAACCCAGCAATGCCCAGTTTCTTTTTAAATTATTATTTTTGTATTTGTTGCAATCATCTCACTTAAAATAACATTAATAAAGAGAAAAACAAGTTGTTTTAAAAAAAAATTGTTTATTTTGCGAAAAATCAAACGTGTCCATATGGACACGCTAAGCGTTAAGGTGTACAAATTAAATTAAATCTTCACTAATTTAAATAACAAACAGAAAAAAAAAAAAAGAAGAAAGGACTTAATTGTTTTTGTGGTAATCCCTAAAGTAGTCGACGCAAAGGCCAACAGTACATTTGCAGCAAGCTGTTCGAACTGCGGAAGATTTAGTCTTGCAGTACGGACCCACACATCTCCTCTTTTTCTGTTTTAGTAACAAAATGTTTCATTTTGTCAAAGCGCGAAGTGTACGCTACCACTGAACTAGAAGTACTAGATCTCCCTAGCCCTTTGGGAATAGAGTTATATTTGCTCAAATAATGTTACACAATCTCCCTTCTGAAATCAAGCGGTGCCACTTTAGCGCCTGCTTTCCGTTGTAGTTGTTGCGATCGAATACAAGTACCCATCCTCCAGCTGAATAGGGCCCAATACCATTTTTTGCTTCTAATGTGTATTCGATACATATTTATATTCTCGTCCATACGATCGACGCCTCCCATGAACCGATTATATTTACCAAAAAGATGAGGACGTGGGACCTGTACGTTCGTTTATCTTTCTCTGAATAACGCTTCACAGTACTTATGGGTACCCCCAGATTACTAGAAGCAATAAACACTATACGCCATCTTCTTTGCTTATCGCTGACTTATAATACCCTCTTTTTTCTTTTTTCTTTGCTTGTTTGTGGTGAGCTTCGGGCATTTTCGTAAACGATTTTCACGTACGGAACCTGTCGCGCCATAGCCATAGCCTTATCGAAGATAATTCAGCAACTACAGACTTGTGAAGAGGCATTCAAAATATCACTCAATGTTCTTTGGTTTTTGAATATTCCATAATCCATATACCTGATAACAAGAAAGCGGAAGCAAAGTAATGTCAGCTCATTCAAGTGCTTAGCGTGTCCATATGGACACGCGAACAAATTTGTTCTAAAACTCGATCGAAACAATGTT